CCCACAATCCTCCGGGGCGGGAGAGGAGCGGGAGAGAGAGACACGCCGGAAGCTCTTTTGGTTTCGCGGTTCTTGCCCCCCCCTCCTCCTCCTCCTCTGCCTCTGGGCCTTCACTGCCCCCCCCCGGTTGGGCCCCCGCCCTCCTCCCACCCGGCTGAGAGTCCCGGGCCGAAGCGCCCCCCCCTCCGTCGGTTCTTCTTCCACGCAGCTCCGGGGGGGGGCGAAGCAGGGGAAGATCCGCTGCAGCCCGAGGGAGCCACTTCAAGCCCCCCCCTGGATGTTGCAGAGTTGGGGCGCTTCTCCGCTGCAGCTCCTGCCCTCCCCAGAGATCCAAAGCGGGGGGGGCTTACTTTGCCCTGGATGAAAACCAGGAGGCCGCTTCCCTGGGCTTAGGGCAGTCATGGAGGGGGGGGCCTTTCGTCTGGTTTTATTCCCACCGGGGGGGGGGCAGAGAGTGGCCCGTTGCTCTCCTCCCCCGCCCTTTCCTTTGGGGCTTTTATTCCGATTTCTGCTCCTCTGCCTCAGTCCCTGGGCCCTGCGGCTGAGCAGCCTGGAATTTGAAACCGTTATAAACGCTCACTAGAATAGAATAGAATAGAATTATAGAATAGAACAGAACAGAATAGAATAGAATAGAGGCAGAGTAGAATAGGGAACAGAATAGAATTGAATTATAGAATAGAATAGAACACAGCAGAATAGAATAGAATAGAAGCAGAGTAGTATAGAATTATAGAATACACCAGAACACAATAGAATAGAATAGAAGCAGAGTAGAATAGAATAGGGAACAGAATAGAATAGAATAGAGCTGGAAGGGACCTTGGAGGTCTTCTAGTCCAGTCCCCTACTCAAGCAGGAGGACCTATACCATCTCAGACAGGTCCAGTCTCTTCTTAAAAACCTCCAATGATGGAATGCCCACGATGTCTGAAGGCAAAGCTATTCCACTGTTAATTGTCCTCACTGTTAGGAAGTTTCTCCTTAATCCCAGGTCGCTTGGCTCACTTCAGGACATGCACACCGCAATCAGCAACTACTCTCTGAGCATCACGATTGTCCCCTGCCTTTTATTTTCCTCTGACCCGATTGCTTTGGGCTGAGCCTGTAAAACTTTTTGTGGTGATACGCATGCTGGATGTAGATTGCGCTGCTTTCTCTCGCTGCCCTCAGAGGCAAAACCTCCTCCAGACCCTCCTCCAGGGTGCCATGGTTCATAGGGCTGAAAGGGACCTCTAGTCTAACCCCTTCCCGGGCAGGACACCTGACACCATTCCGGACAAATGGCTGTCCAGTCTCTTCTTGAAAACCTCCAGTGATGGAGCATTCACCGCTTCTGGCGTTATGTCGTTCCACTGATTGTCACTGTCAGGAAATTTCTCTTTATTTCCAGGTTGGCTTTCTCTCTCTGAGTTTCCACCCACTGCATCTTGTCCTACCCTCAGGAACTTCGGAAAACTAAGTGAATAAAAATAAAAAATCTCTGCTTTTACTAGATGCAGGTACTAGTTCCTCCTACAGCATTATTTCCTGGAAGGTTTTGTCACAAGCAACTAGTCCTCAGTCTAGTTACCCACAAGAATTAAACCAGCTGGGACTGAGTCATTTAGGGTCCACCGGGAGAAACCTGCCTTGTGGCAAGATGGGCAGCAAACAAATTTAATAAATAAATAAAAGTAACGCACGGTCATCTGCAGGTGGCAGGAGCCCAGCATGGCTGAGGAACTCGTGGGCTGTGCTTTGTCAACCTGCTTTCAGAGCTTATTAAGAGGTTTGGGGGGGGGGGTGCTGCCTCTTCCCATCCTTTTAAATGGAGCTTTCGCAAGGGGGGGTGAAGTGGGATTCCTAGTATGTCAGGGAGAGGAGCGGTTTTAGAGGCTCTTTCTGCTGAAGAGATGGGGAACGGGGAGGGGCTTTCCAAGGCCATGGGGCCACCCACAGCCTCCCCCACCACCAGGGCCTTTTCCCAGCAGGCCTCCAGTCAAGCATAACGCCGAATGGGGAAGTGGCCCCTGCTGGGGTTTTGAGTCTGGGATGGGTGGGGGGGACATTCCTCTCTACCCTGCCAGATGGAAAGCCCCAGGCCTGAGGGAGGGGGAATGTTTCCTCTGCTTCCCTGTCTTCCCCCATTGGGTGCTGGCTTTCTCCCTCAGAAGCAGTAAGAGAATTTGGGGTGCAGAATTTCACTGTCCCCTCCAAAGTGCCAACTTATGGCTGAGCATGCGGAGGGGGGGGATAGTGACCCTCCATGAAATCAGCCACCGGGCCGCCTCCAATCCCAAGCAGAAGGGACAGCTGTGGCCCCTTCAGCTGAGCTGGGGGAAAGTGAGTCCTGGAAAGGACTTGGGGCCCTTAAGCAGAATTGTTGGGTCAGAATTAATCAGGCTGTTAGGCAGGCTGCTGCCCCCATCCCATTGGGGGCGACTTCTGAAACCAGTTCGGGCAGTGGCGTCCAAGGGCAGCGCGGGGGTTCCCAGGACGCTCCAGCCCTCCGTTGGGTCCTGCCGGGGGCCAGCCCTTCGCCCAGGGCAGGGGCCTCCGCTCTACCGCAGCGGCTGGCCGGCTGGGGTGGCCGAGCAGAGCCCCAAACGGACGCCCCGACCCGAGGCCCCCTCCCCGGACGTTTAGGCCCGCCTGCAGGGGCCTCTCCCCGGTTCTTTCGCCTGCGCGAGGCAGGCTCCGCTCTCTGCCGACAAGCCGCGGCGTGGAACCGCGACTCTCCCCGCTCGGAAGGCGCGAGGGACGCTTTGGGGAAGTCCGGCTGCCGGCCCAGGTCCCCCCCCCGCTCCTCACTCCGGCCCCGGCTGCTCTTCTGCTCCCGCGGCCAGCCGGCGCCTGGCTTCGCAGGCAGCCCCGAGCCGGGAGGAGGAGGAGGAGGAGGAGGCAGGGCGCTAACCCCAGAGACCCCCAGGCAGCCCTGTTGCTGCCATGACCCGAGAGCCCCCCCTCTGGACTGGGCGTCCCCTGCCCCACAACAACCCCGCGAGGTAGGCGGGTCTCGGCGCAAAGAGCCACCTGGGGGGAAAGGACGGACGAAGCGGGCGCGCCTGACCGACCTCGGGACTTCCCTCTGCGGGGGATTCCCGGCGGGCGGGCGGGCGGGCGGGCGCGAGGGTCGGGCGGAGTGCGGGGCCGCCCCTGGACGCCCGGCGCCCCGCCCGATGGGCCGGCGAGAGCCCGGCCGCCTATAAAGGGAGCGGGATGGCGGCGGCGGGCCGAGGCGGCGCCGATGGAGGGGCGACGGTGGTCGGCGGGGCTGAGCGCGGCGCTTCTGCTCACGGTGAGTTTCGCTTCCGGCCGGCGGGACTGCCCGACGCGCCCCGGAGAGCCCCGGCTGGGCGCCGCCCGGGAATAGGAGCGCGGCCTGCCGCGACGCCCAGCCGCCTCCCCGCCCGAGTTCCCCCTTCGGCAGGCGGGCTTCTCCCGGCAGCCCGAGCCGAGTGGAGCCCGGGCGCAGCCGCCTGATCCGTCTGGCTTCTCCCCAGAGTCGGGATCTCTCCGGCAGGCTGGTTGATGTCCTTGTTTTTTATTTATTTATCTCCCGCCTTTATTATTTTTTTTATAAATAACTCCTTCTCCTTTCCCCACGACAACCCCGGGAGAGTCACTGGCCCAGCCAGCCGGCTTTCAGGCTTAGGGCAGAACTAGAACTCAGAGTCTCCTGGTTTCTAGACCGAAGCGGCTGTTGCTGGTCTCTGCCCGGCCTTCTTGGTGCCCGGAGCCCCTGGCCTTGGCTAGCAGCCCCCTCGCCCCGGCTGACTGGGCGGCACAAGGGGAGAGCGAGCCCCCCGAGGGACTGCAAAGGGCGGGAATAGTCTTGGCTGCTGTCTTTTGGCCTCGCGGAATTGTGTCGTGTGTGTGTGTGTGTGTGTGTGTGTTGCTCAGTTTTGGGGGCTAAGCCCCTGTGCACAAAAAACTCAGTAGTGGGGGGGTTAGCCATGCTCTCCAGGTTCTCCCCCCACCCCGCCACCTTCTCCGCACTCCCAGCTGTGTCCTTAATAGGTCTACCTTGTGGCTACCTTCACACGTTCCCTTCATGGTTCTGTTTGGGGCACACGTAGCCAGTGTGCTGGTTCGTTCCACAAGGGTTCACTAGCCTTGTACCAGTGCAGAAAAAGGAGAGGTAGAACGTAGTCTAGATTCCCAAAAGGGGGGGGCTGCGTTCCCGAGGGTAAAGAGTAAGGGGTTTGTTGGAGAGGAAGAGAATTGAGGGGGGTCCTCCTTAGGGATTCTCAGAGTATTATCTACTACAATACGCAAATAGTTGCTTTAGTTCAGGGGTAGGCAACCTTGGCTCTTTTATGACTTGTGGACTTCAACTCCCAGAATTCCTGAGCCAGCTATGCTGGCTCAGGAATTCTGGGAGTTGAAGTCCACGAGTCATAAAAGAGCCAAGGTTGCCTACCCCTGCTTTAGTTTGTCAAGATTTCTGTCGGTGGGTGAGGAGCCATAAAGGGAATTGCTCAGAAGAGACTTTCTTGGTTTGGGGGCCTGGTGTGAGGTTCAGTGAGAGAAATGCGTTGCCCCGGGATGGGTACAGCCTAGATGCCACAAACTGTTGCCGGGGTTTGAGGTTGGCGGGTTGGTGCCCAGAATCCCCATCTGGATAGGCTGGCTCCTGGGCCCAGGGCAAGGGGAGGCTGGGGAGGGCCGCCGTGGGGAGCAGAAGCCACGTCAGGAGGCCCAGGGGAGACGCAGGGCTTTCCCCGGAAGTTGCTGCGGGTGGCGCTCTTCCATTGGCAGCCCCGCTGTGGCTCAAGCTAGTCCTGCCCGACGGCTTTGGGAAGAGCGAGCTTGACCCCGGAGGCCGAGCCGTGCCAGATCTGGGGCTGGGCCTCTTGGTTTCCCTGCCAGGTGGGTGGGGGGCAATCAGTGCATCTCCTGCCCAGGCTGCTCAAGCCGGAACTCGGCCTTCGGGGGGGGGGCTCGCAGTCTGGGGGAGGGAAGGGGGAGTAGATGCCTGTGTGGCCACTAATCGCTTGCGGTGTTTCTAGCTGCAGGGCCTGGCCTTCGCGCAGGGGCTCAACTGCAGCCAGACGCAGTTCCTGTCGAACGGTCGGTGCTGCAACCGATGCCCACCAGGTAGAGTGTCGGTGTGGGGCAGCTGTTTGTCATCCCTCCTCTCCCTTGGCCCCGCTCGGGGCAGTTTCCGAGCCCTTCTGCTCCGCCTCAGTGGGTGGGGGTGGCAGGAGGCCCCTTCTCGGCCCAGCCCTCAGAGGCCCTGGGGCTTCTCTGCCCCCTGGCTGCTGATGCAGAGATGGGCCCCTTGGGTGTCTCCAGCGCTGCCCAGTTGGGGCCATTTCCCTCTTTGCAAACCCCCCCCCGTTGGCCCCTCTCACGGTCCCCCACCCCCACAGAGAGATTCCTCCAGAACTCCTGACCCAGCGCTCCCCTATTCTGCTCTCTCTGTGTTTCTCGCCATCTTGCAGGCCAGAAGGTGGAGGCTGCCTGTTCGGGGCAGTCCAATACGACCTGCAGCCCTTGTGAGGAGCACCACTTCCAGGACAGGTGGACTGGGCTGCCTCACTGCACCCAGCACCGGCCCTGCAGCCCACGTGAGTGCGGTGGGGAGGGGGGCTCCCTTGGCTCCCCGGAGCCATCCTGCCCAGCAAAGCAACACCACGTGCCCCTCTCCCTCCGTGGGGTCCTGGGTGCTCTCTGAGCTGGGCCGTGTCCTTGCAGACGTTTCGTTACCCAACTAGGCAACATCATCCGTGGCAGCCCCTGAGCGTCTAACCCTGATGATGTTACTTAGTTTGGGTCTTGAAACGTCTGCAGGAAAACAGCCGAGCTCAGAGAGCACCCAGGGGGCCCCTCCTGCCAACCCCCAGCTACAAGCGTCTGTCGTGCCCCCTCCCCTTTCAGAAGCTGGCCTGGTTGTCTATCGGAACGGCAGCAAAGAGCGAGACGTCGTCTGCCGGTGCCAGGAGGGTAAACACTGTTCCAGCCACGAGTGCGAAACCTGCCGGCCCCACAGCCTCTGCGGCCCTGGGGAAGGGGTCCAACGGGAAGGTGAGGGCAGCAGCAGCCCCAGGGCCTCCAGTTTAGGTGATTTGGGCTGGCCCCAGACCAGGAGCCCTGGTCGATTTGGGCTGACCTCTGACCTCTCGGAGAATAGGCCCCTCCCTGAAAGATTCAGTGGGGCTCTCTTGCGCTTTTCCAGGCAATCACCTGACCGACACCCTCTGCGCCCCCTGTTCTTTGGGCTACTTCTCCAATGTCTCGTCCTCCACAGCTCGGTGCCAGCCCTGGAGCAGGTAGGCCGTGCGGGGGACCCTCAGAGCGGCCACCGGCCTCTTGCATGGCCGGCTCGCCTGGCCCAAGGGAAGAGCAGGCCGGGAGGGAAGGCCACAGCGTGCCGCCATTCGGGCCAGCGGCTCAGGGTTGTCACTCCCGCAGGCGATAAAATGGCACCCGGCACCCTCCGTCTGCGGCAGGCAGCAAGTGGCAAAGCCCCGTGCCCCGCTCTCCCCTCAGGGGCGCCCGAGCAAGCCGCAGGCCCACCCAAAGCACCTTCTGCCCTTGCAGGCCTGCGTGCGGTGTGGGAACAAAAGGGTGGCGTTCACACCAGAGGGTTGCGGTGCTCTTTGCCATCTGCCACCTGGTCAGCGCCTGTGGCTCCTGCAGGCTGGGCTGCCGGGTCGGGCAGCCCTGGGGGCGCCTGCATGAGAGCCCCCCCACTCCGCCCACAGATCTCGGCAAAGTGTGCCGTTGCGCTCTGTTGCTCTTTTGCTCAGAGTTGTCTTGTGAACCGCTCAGCTGGAACCCCTCAGGGAGGCCACTCCCCCTCCCCCCCCAGCGGCTGCTTTGCTCCGGGGGCCCCAGGGGGGAGGGGGAGGATGCAGTGTGCCTGTCCACGGGTGGGTGGGTGGGGCGGTGGGGGTGGAGGGCTGCCTTCTCAGGCCACTGCTCATCTTCACAGATGCCAGGAGGGGCTGGTCCAGAAGGCAAACGGCACCCAGGCAAGGGACAACATTTGTGGTAAGCAAGGAGGCAGAGGCCACTCAAGGAATGGGAAGGGTGTGTGTGTGTGTGTGTGTAAAACCAGCTGGCAACTTGCCCCCTACCTGTTGCTTGGGGGGGGGAGGGAGAGGGCCCACAAGCCAGGCAAGGAAGCCCATTTTGGGGACTGCAGCAGGTGGTCTTCTTCTCCCCACAGAGGCGCCCCTGTTGAAGACCCCCAAGGCCAGGCTGAGCCCCCTCCTGGTGCTGCTCCCTGTGGCTGCCTTACTGCTGGGGGCGCTCCTTTTCTTGTGGCACCGGCATGGCAAATGTGAGTGATGGGAAGAGGAGGGAGAGGCTGGAGGCGAGGGGGGCAATCGGGGGAGGGGGGTTGCCCTCCCTCGCCTCTGGGAGACCCCTGGGGTCCCGGCATTTGCAGCCTTTCTTGGACTCGGGGGTGGGGGGTGGCTTTCCCCCCTGCCTCTGGGGCTCAGTCCGTATTCTGTACCCCTCCCGTGTGGGCTCAGCCCCCCCCACAGGCTTCTTACAGTGGGGAGGGGGAAGAGGAGCAGGGAGACTGGGGCCCCCAGGGGGAGAGTAGGGGGGCAAGGGAGGCTTCAGGTGCCCTTTGCTTCCCAGTCCAGCCTGAACCCCAACTTCATTTCTCCCCCCCCCAGCCTGGTGGGAGAGGGACTGGGCCGTGTAGGAGCCCAGCTCAGCCCGTTTGAGGTGAACACAATCTCTTCCACCTGTTATGGAGAGGGGGCTCCGGAGCAGGGCCCCCGTGTCGGGTCTGAGGAAAGGGGTGGCAGCCTCCAGATCCCTCCCCTGATGGGTTCAGCAGCCCAATGTGTAGCGCAGGCCTCCTCTGAATGCCCCCCCCCAGCTGATGTCTCCTTTCCTCCTGCCTAGGTGCTCGGAAGCGGCGTCAGGATCTGGTAGGTGCTCCTTCTCGAGGCCCCCCTTGGGGGAGGGGGGACCTGGGGCCAGACCCCTGGGCCAAGGATGGCACCTGGGCCTGCAGTTTCAGGAACAGCCCCACCGTGAAAGATGACCGGGGTAGGGTCAGGAGGGCGCCTGGGGAGTCCTGCCCGCCAGCCTCCAATGGCCTGGTTCTCTTGCAGCCCCTCCAGGAGCCCCCAGAGCCCACCGAGAATGAAGAGGACTGCCCGGCCTTCCCCACCCAGGAGACCCTGCTGGGGGAGCAGACGGGCACGCAGGAGAAGGAATGCCACCTCGCCCAGCAGGAGCAGGTCTGAGCAGGAAGCCATGTGGACGCGAGGGCGGCTGCACACCTGGGCCACCCGCCCTCCTCTCTGCGCCCCACACCCGGCAGTCCTGGGGGTGCTGTGTCCTGCCAGCAGCCTCCTTGGCTCATCTCCTCCAGAACTGGACCCCCCCAAAGGAAAGGCTGGCAAGGCAAAAGGGCAAAAGGATCAGGGTCTTCCTCAAAGGCGTTCTCCTCACCTGGATCCTGGCACCGGTTGTACCAAGTTCCTGGGCAACCCCTGGCAGGGGTCCTGGGTGGAAGCAGTGCAGCAAAGGGGGCTGGGCTGCCCCTCCTGGGGGCCCAGAGCTATTTCTCCCCATCAGAACGGCTGCAGCCTGCAGGGATGAGGAGCTGGGCCAGCCCGGCTGGGCTTGCAGCCGTTCCGAAGGCCCGTGTGTTGTGGCCTCCCAGATCTGGGGGAAGGAAGGCCATGGGGTGGTCCAACAGGCCCTTCTCTGCCCTGGGATGTCTGCCAAGCTGGGCCACCTCGTGGGGGAACTAAAGACCCGCTTCTCTCTCTTTCCCAGCCCAAGAGGGTGATCTGGCTGGCGGGCAGACTGAGCTGGGGGCAGGTGGAGGAGGTTGGTGAGGAGGCTTCTGCCCACTTGGCAAGGGCAGCCTCGCAGGTGCCTGGGCTCTGTAGTGCAGGGTGCCCCCCCCCTCTGCAAGGCCAAAAAGCCCCTCCTGGGGGCTTCTCTCTGCCCTTAAGGGGAACTGCAGACTCAGCAGGCTGAGATTTAAAATGGAGGCTCTGGGAGCCGAGTTGCACCCACTTTTTCTAAGAACCTCTCAAGGTCCGAGCCTCAGCCAGGGGAGGGGAGACCCCCAGCCCCCTCCTACCTCACCCAGATCTGCCCTGGAGGCCGAGATGATGAGCTGGCTCTGTAGCTGAAACAGGAAGCAAAGGGGGGTGCTGAGTTCTTGAGAAGGTCAGTCCCCAAAGTCTGGGATGGTCTCCAGAGCAGGGATGCTTCCGGGGGGGGGGGGGCTTTGGTAGGCAGCTGGCTCTGGTGTCCAAACCCTCCGCCTGGCAGGGCTGCAGCCTTCGGGGGGGGGGCCTCTGTCCTCCCTCCCTCCCTCCCTCGGAACAGCCAGGTCAGATCAAGTTTACTCTCCCATGTGTGTGTTTCTCAGACAGCAGCTCTGTGTTGCAATTTTATAAAACTCTTCCTTTGTTAAGCATGTTCTGTTCTTGGGGTGATTGTGGGGAGGGGGGCAGGGATAGGGAGCCTGCAACCCCCGGAAGGTGTTTGGCCTGGGGTGGGTTTAGGAAGCCGGCTGTGGGCGTCCCCTCTTCCCCACTAGGCCAGCCGGAGTCGAGGGCACGGTGTGAACCAACAGCCACCTGAGCATGATGGGGAGGGGGCTTCCAGACAAGGCTGTTTCCTCCTTTTTCTTGACCCACACAAATCTGGGAGGGGGGGGACAGCCGCAGTGCTGCCCTAGACCTGCTCTAGACGATGGGGGCTCTTCCAGGGCCAGCTGAGTCACCGGGCGGGGACTTTTTCAAGGATTTGCCTCTGTCACTCTTTGTCATCACATACACGCACACGCGCACACATCTCAATTGGCTTGGCTGCAGGTTGGGCTTCCCAGCCCCCCCCCCTCAAGAGAAGGTCCTGCCTTTCGCTAGAAAGAAACCGGCCTGATTTACCAGAAACGGGAGGGCGCGCCCGGCCTCCCAGCTCAGCCCAGGCGGCGAGGGGGGCTCCCTCGTAACCGGCGGGGGGGGGGTCATTTTGAGGAAATGCAACCGGCGGGGGGGGGGCAAACTTCCCCCTCGGGCGCTCCCGCCCTGCTGTTCGGGGGCGTCTCCTGGGCCAGCCAATGGCGGGCGCTGCCCCCGGCCCTCCAGCACCCCCACCCGGTTTCTAGAAAGACTACGTTGGCGGAGCCCCTCTCGGTTGGCTGTCGCCCCTCCCGACGGACGGCCGAGCCCGCAACCCCCCCTACGGTTAGCCGGCTGCGAGCCGGCGCCTAACCGGGCGGAGCGGGCTGCGCGAGGAGGGCGGGAGGGCGGGCGGTCGGACGGGCAGGGCCGGCCCCGTCTGGGACTCCGGGCTAGCGCGGGGCCGCCGTCGTTGGGCGGCGCTCTCTTGCTCCGGGCCGCGGACTGGCTCTGGCCACTGGAGGGCGCCGGAGAGCCGCGGCGGAGCCGGCCCGAGCGGGAGACGAGCGCGCGTGCTTTCCGCCGGGCTCCGCGGATTCCCCGGCGAGAGGGAGGTCGGGGACGCCGGTCGGGACCCGCTTCGGCTCCTCGCGGGGATCCTGCCTTACCGGGGTGGGGGGTGCTTGTTCGCTGCCAGGCGCCCCGGAGTTGCGGGGCGTGGCGACCCTCTTCGCGGGTCGGCCCCCCTCGAAAGCGAGTGTCGGCAGCTGCCCGCGCCGCCCCGGGGGCCCAATCCGGCTCCCCTCCTGCCCCCCCCCCGGGCAGAGCGCCGTCCCTGCCCGCCGATGGTGCCCGGGAGTCCCGGGTTTCCCGTAGCCCCGCCTCGCCTTCCTTGCTGTCGGGGCTGCGCTTCCGTCCCTTCGCCTGCCCGGGGACAAGCGGGACCCTGGATGTCTGCCTGGATAGCCCTGAGCCCAGTGGCGGTTCCTGCTCGTTGAGGGGGGCAGGCTACGGGGCTTCATGGCTCTCCCCGCCCCCCCGCTTGCGGGCCTCCCCCGCCTGCAGTGACGCCGGTTGGGGCCTTATCCGGCCACCGAGCACCTGCGCTCCACTTTGGCTCAGTTGCCAAACTGGGGCTGAGACTGAGTTCTGAGTTGCCCTCTTGGTACCAGGCAGCGCCCCCTCCCTCCTCCTCCCCCCCTCCTGCGCCTTCTCCGGCCTTCTTGCGTCCCTGCTGGGCCAGGGCAGCCCTGTTGCCGAGGGACCCCCTCGCCCACCCTCCCAGCAGCAAGGAGTGGCCAGCCAGAGAGACGGCCCCTGTCCCTTGCCCACCAGCCTCCCCTTCTGCCGCGGAAGGCCGGTGGGCAGGGTGCCAGCCCAGGGAGCAGGCACAGGTGCCAAGATGTTGGAGGGGGATTCCGGGAGGCCTTCTGGGTGAAAGGTCTGGCCAGTGAGCGGCCTCCCCCTCCAGGCCACGCCTGGGAAGCCTGCAAGGGCTGCAGGTGGGCATCGGGCGCCATCCCCTCCCAGCTGTTCTCCTGGTCCCATCTT